GACCGTTATTGCTTGTGTGAAATTGATTGCCTAAACGTGCAAATCGTCTCTGATATCATGCCTGACTTTAAGTGAGGGATTGATTTATTTAGCCAAACGTGCAAAGTGTCTCCGATAGCACCTCTGACTTTATATGGGGGATTGATTGCTTTAGTCGTACATGAAAAGCATCTTCGACAACACCAATGACTTTATGTGCTTCGGGCATCAATATCTTTGGTCGTACCCTGGATTCTCTATTGTTATGCATAGTCATAAAGAAAAGAGTGTCTTAGAAAACATTACTTTATTTTTATATTGGTAGAAATACATGTACACAAATGGTAAATGATTTAAGCATATCGTTTAGTACAATTGAAAAATACGAAACATAACTAAGAGGGATAACCACCGCTTTTTTATTATCTTCTTACGGCCTATCCGACCATTTTTTGGTGGATGGATTCTAATCCTATTGAGCTTCCCCATGAGGGAAGTGACGTTGAGTTCCATGGCGATGCCTTATCCTTGATCTTTTTTTAGAGCCTGGTTTATTCTCTTTGCTCCCTTAAGCTCGACATTGATTGTCGTCAATTCTCCTTGTAGGTTGTGGTATTCAAGCTTGAGGTGGACCGGTGACATGATGACATATTGCATGGCTGAAAAGGGTCCTCCCAAGATACAGTTATTAACACTCCTACAAGGAACAACAATAAATTGAGAATTTATCACTCAGATGTCATCTTCACTACCAAGGAAACTATTATTTCCATATATCCCAAGGGACGGGTTGTGGTTCTGTAAAATGCTTGGAGGTTTGAGCCTTCATATTGCAGCAAGTTGCTTTGGTTCAGGTCCATTTTCTAGAATAATTTCGAGCACGTGATGTCATATGATCTGTCGTTGTCAATGAGGATCTGAGATACATCAAACTTCCCAATTATAGAGATGATCACGAGGAGAAATTTTTCATTGGGATTGCCTCATATTTTTTATGAGTCCAAGAATCCCTGCATAGGATGGTTAGGTAGTTTTTCTGGCGTATTACACTCCTTGTGGTAGGCATACATCTTCTCTGTGATTTTATTCTTCTTAGTACCTTTGGATGGGAGGTTCGCCTTGTAGTGTTCCTCTAGTTATGGTAGCAATATATGGGTGTTTTCCTTTATTTGACTCCTTACTTTCTCCATTTGCCCCGATTGTTGCGACCTTCGAGGGAGGCTTACCTTTAAGTGACTTTTCTCTATTCCACTTGCCTCATTTCACATATTCGGCCATCTGACCCCTCTTTATCAGTTCTTCGTCAATATATTTTAACTAAATACAATCATCAATATTATGGTTGTGGCTTCTATGGAAGCGGTAATATTTTAATTTATTTATTTGAGATGACTCTCTGACTTGGTATGGGGGTCGGATTCCTACTTATCGAAATTCAGTATTTATACAGTCTTGGTAAATCATCTCATGGGAGATTGTCAGAGGAGTGTACTTGTTGTACTTTCATAGCATTCCCCCTTCTGGATCATCGCGATGTCGGTGGGATTTCTTCCCAACCGAGTGACTAGAGTGAGAATCGACAAAGACAAGGTTACCAAACATGTGTATATAGTTTCTCTTCAAAGATCATGAAAGGTTCGACCATAGTTAACATCCGTCAAGCAGACCATTGAACCATAATCGAGCTGGTCCAACCAGGTTCAGTGCAAACAACTCGCACTTGTACGCATCATGAACACTGAAGTAACTCAGTCGATCATCTACAATTTGCATATTCTCGTCTAGATCTCCTTTCCTGTCATAATCTCTCAATTTAGGTGGTTTTTCCATCGACCTCGAAATCTTGCTTTCTAGTATTCTTATTGACTGCGGGCGCTTGAGTTGCACTTTTTCCGAATGGGTTTCTTCTTGAGAAAGGGAAGGTGCATGGCTGCTCCGGTCTCCCCTAAGGCTGGGAGGAGAAGTATGATACTTCCTACTTATACATCGGTCCTTTGATTGAGAAACCTTGTCTCTCTTTTCAATACTACACTTACTCACATAAGAAGAAGTCATCCCGCGGTTCACTTATCCACGTCACCACCACCATCTTAAATGGTATAAATGGATAGTTCAAAATCAAAAATTAACCAATTAAAACTCTTTTCTAAAGATCTTGAATTATATTTTGGTCTACCTGCCTAAAAAAATCATCAAACTCAATTATTTAAACTTCGATAACATAAATATATTTATGAATACCAAGCTAATATTTAAAAATTAGGTTATAAAATATTGGAATTACCACGTGATACAATTCTTAATTATTGTATTTTTAGAATTAACTCAAAAATCTAAAATAAAATTGTCATTGAGCGCCTTTACTTTATTTCACAAATAGCGGGATTAATCAAATTAATTGAGCGCCAAATTTCACAAAATCCATCAAACCAACCCTTAAGCTCCTCTACCACACAAACTCACCCTCAAAATCCTTCATATATTTTTTTTCCCCAAACAAAAAAAAAAAAAATTGATCTACTACTCCTTCATCCCCTACAACAATCACAAACTAATTCCCTATACATCGCATTACTTCAGCTCAACGCAAAGAGCTCAGAGCACAAGGTTTATGCTTCATTTGTGAAATAAAAATTGTTTCTTATGTCATTGAAATAGTTGAAAAATAATGAGATTTTCAATGTGGTTGAAAGTGAAACAGAAAACTTTGAAACATACTTCCAACTTTCACCACAAATTGTAATAAGTCAATTTTTTCCAAACACTTTGAAATTTAAAGAATTACTTGATGGCTTGTTTATGAGTATCCTAATTGAGATTGACAACACTAATTATAGAGAATAATAAAGTCAAGTGTGAGTTAAAATTTCACATTGATTATAAATGTTAATAGTTGATCATTTATAAGGAAAAAAACTCATACACCTTTCATTTGTCAACAATATATGATGATTTGGCCTAATTTAAAAGTCAGAAAGGAAGTTTAAATTAACCGTCCGTTTGAATATTTGGTTGAATTTGATAAGCTATTATTTGCTCCTTTTTATTTTAATTTAAATATTAATAATCATTCTCATAAAAAAAAATATCGTATTTTGACTATGCACAACAATTCGATTAAACATTTTAAAATTAATTTTATTATCTATTAATTATGAGAAAAAAACGTAGAGCACCGTTTTACACTATCATTTAATTGGGATTTATTATTTAATTATATTATACAATTTTTTTAGTAAGCATATTATACATTTTAAACATATCAAAGTGATTGTGTAGAATGGTGATTAATAGACAATGTAAAATTTTTTTTTTTTCTTTTTCATTAATTATAGTTGATAAAGTAATTAAATAGAGAAAGTTAATAGTATAGACTAGTACCCTTTCCATTTGACAATAATTATGCTTTTTTTTTTTTGAAAATTTTACACTTTAAAATAATAATTAATTGAATTAATTTCAGATATAACACAAATTTAATTTATTAAAATAACCTTATTAGTAACAGGTAGAAAAATAGTTTAATAATTTAAAATACAATAAATAAAAGTAAGTTATGAGAACAAAATAATAAATATCATATTATTATTTTGAGATAAATTATAGTTTAATAATAAATAATAAATAATAGTTTAATACTTTAAAAGGATAAATATTTTGAGACAAATAAAAATAAAAAAGAGAATATCTATTATGAAATTTTATTTATTAAAGTAATCTTATTAATAATAGGTAGTATAGTAGTTTAATAATTTAAAATATAATAAATAAAGATAAATTAGTAGAATAAATTAAATATCTTAGTACTTTTAAGGGACAAATAATGAGACATACAAAAAATTATAAAATAAAAAAAAAAACCTACTGTGAAATCTAGTGAAACTTAGAGAGTATTAATCGTTCGACTAGCTTACTTCTTTTCACAATATTTAAAGGCATTTAAATTACAAGATAGTAAAGTAATACTACAATTTAGTATATGCACTCTATTGAATTATATTAAATTATAAGATAGTAAAGCAATACTACAATTTAGTACTATATGCAGTTATGCACTGTCTATTAAAATTAAATTCTTGTATTTGTTTTTACTTGGAGTACACAATTTTTCAGATGTTAAACCAATTATACAAGTTTATATGTATGAAACTAAAACATGATACCGATAGTCAGATAAATAAGCATATATTTTATATGTTAACATAATATCAATTTTTGAGATTGTTATTCTTATTCTTATTTTTATTTCTATTATTTTGACTTCTGAAGAGGTAGTAGTAAGGTTCAGATATATTCATTTAAATTATATTGTATTTGACTTTTAGGGGGGAAAAACACTAAAAAATTCCTTGAACTCTTTGGCATGCCCATCATATTCTTATAGGAGACAAATTGTTATGCCTTCTTAGCCTGTTATTTGAGAATTATGATGCTCTTCTTAAGGCTGTTAATTATAATAGTGTTCTAACAACTGCATAAATTATTATTAATCAAATGAACATATTGTTCATACATCAAAGGATCACTATATATGAATGGGTTTGGGTTTTGAAAACTAAGTTCCAAAAAAAGGAATATTAACACAACTTCTATGAGGCTTATTAATAACAACCACTGGTAGTAAATGTGATCTGTCTAATAAGTAATAACATGCAAATTGTATTTGAAAGTTGAAACCGTCAAGACAAATTGACCTCAGAGGTTATAAGATTCCGGATTTACAACATTGATCCAAATAAGTGAACAACATATAAATCTGAAATTCTGAATCTGCAATTACATTTCAAATAGACATCAAAACTGAGTGCAAAGAGCAAATATGGATGACATGTATCGCGTCACTGACATAGGTACTCAAATAACAAGTTACTAACCACTACTTGTATGTTTCCAAAAACGGCGACTCTATTCCAAATAAAGAAGCAAACCAGATAAGCAAGTAGCCGTAGCACCAGTAACAAGCAATATAAAAAATGGAGCTGCTGAATACCTCGTGACTATTAGAGCACTCCATACATAGTTCATTCATCATTAATATTATTATTATTATTATTAAGAAGCTCATCCCCGGGACCTCGTTGTACAAGTCTGTAATACAATATACCCATAGTTGCCATGCACGCCCTGCAAACGGATGATAACAACTTCATCAGTTAAAAACTAGCAGTATAAAACATGATTGTAACTGAGTTTATATACAGGGAGAGGAAAGAGCTATACATGATTGCAATCAGTAGAAGAATTTTTCTCGGGTCCATTCTTGATGACTTTGGATGCCGTGCACGAACTTCTGGGGCTTCGGGTCCATTTGATCCGTCTTTCCTTACAGGTGGTGCAGTCACCGGAAGAGTAGGCAAAGCACTGGACCAGAAAGGAAGCAATGCTCGAAGAAACTTGTGGTGGAATGGACCTACAATTTCAAAGAGGAAAATTCAAATTAATAAATTGAACTAGACAAGCCAACATGAACAGCATATGACATGTCAAATATTCAAAATTCAAAATTCAATCAAAAACACTTCATCACCTCTTTTTGTATACTTTTTGCGTTTCGCATCTTCGTCATCAGCATAGTATGAGATTTCAGAGTTTTGTCGGTCAACATGGAGTGATCCCTTCCTTGTGGTAGCACCAGGCTAAATTATTTGCAACAAGAATAAAATTATATAAGATAAAATACCAAATGCATAACAGAGTTTACAACGAGAAAACGTTCAGGCCCACGTGTTAAAATGGAAAACATATGCAAATACAGAATAAGTGCACTTAAAGATATCTTCTTACACCAACTGGACTTGAGCTTTTCATGAAATTTCCTCCTGAATTAGGACCATCTATCTCCACAATATCTGAAACTGAAAGTTTAGAAAGTTCTGATCCATCTACTGACTCTGAGTTTCCAACATTTTCCCGACCAATCAATGGATCAGACGAAAAAGCAGGTGGAGGACTACGTGATTCTGTCACTGACAAAGAAATTGGATGATTTCCAAAGATATTCTTTTCTATACCCGTCTGCACAAAAGCAGGTAAAAACTAATGAAAATTTCATTTATAAATTGAGAAGAAGAATAACGCAAAAAAAAAAAAAAAAAAAAAAATCTGTTTCATAGACAATTAAATCAAAAGAAGACAGATGCATATTTTTGCAATAAAAGGTAACTCGTCCCCAAAATAATCAATTTCCACTATAATAATAGATCAGTGGTATATCACAAATATTGATCACTCGCCATTTAATAAAAACTCGGGTGTGATGCCATGAATGAGTTTTCCAGATGGATATACTCATAAACACTTAGTATTATCTTTACCACAATAATCATTAAGTTGCTGAATTGAAATGAGATGGGTGTGAAAGAGGATTAGTGTTGAAGATACTGGTTCAGTAAGCCCCGACAACGGAGAATGTTGATATTCCATATAATATTATTTCGTTTTAAACCTGACAAAGACCAGAGACTAGGGTTTCTACAACTATAAACATTCTGCCAGTAAATTCATCAAAGTCCCAATTCAATTTTAATCTCTATTCCTTAATGGTGAGAATGACATGTTTTTTTTCTAAAACCCAAAATGACAATGTGAGACACTGATGTATGATAAGTTTTTTCGGGTTTTTGTATGCCAGGAAATATACACTAGTATAATCTGATATAATAGTTAAAGAAAAATGGAGACCGCTTAAATAGTACCAAACTCTTAAGTTACCTGCAAGATAGCTTCCTTCAACTTGGAATGAAGACGAGATCCTGAATCTTTCACGCTTTTGGGAGGCCATATCTGCACGAGTTATTTCACCAAAATGACACACTAAAAAAGAATTGTTTTGATACCAATGCATGAAGAAAATTCTAGAAGTCTTAGAATGTAGATTGGGTGAGGATTGCCCCTACGTATAAACATATGACAATTCATATATTGTCCGGTGTGAAATTCTTAATACACCTCGCGCCCAATACTCCTGTGCTTGATGTGTAGATATAAATAGTGGGTGGTGCCTGATAGCAGGTGGTCCAACAAATTTTGAATGTGGCTCTTATACCATCTTAGAACATGGATTAGGCCTAATTCAACTTTACAAAACTAGCTTGTAAGGTGAGGATTGCCTCCACTTATAAACATGTTCAAGTTATATATTGTCCGATGTGGAACTCTTAAAAAGAAGGTTAAAGCATAATACAATATTAGTTCAACGGGTCATGTGTCTAATGTGTGTAACTACAATATTATGTTATGGTCCCTAATCTGATATAGTGTTGACACAATCCTAGACGCGGTAGAATCTTTCCTTCGACCTATGGTGAAGGCAAAAGTGTCATCCTTGACAGAGTGTCTTCTTGAATTCACAAGTTTTTTTTATAGTAATTATTGATGACTTTTATTCTCAACGATGATTTTTATTCTCAATTATGCTGCCTATAAATAACCTTACAATAGAAGAAGAGGCCTAATTAAGCTAGGTTAATAATTAACTTTTCCCGAATGCCTTGTTAAGCTTTTGGGCCTATGATAGTAGACCTTGAGAACCCTTGGGATGAATGCCTCCCAAGCTAGATATAACTCTAGGCTCCAACGAACAAAATTACAATCAACACGCCCACTCCTGCCTAATGCCTTGTTAAGCTTTTGGGCCTATGCGCGGGACACTATTAGAATAGTAATATAATTTTAAAAGTCTCTATCTACATCTTAATAATCAAGAGTTTTAGTTACAGAAATGAATAAAATGAAGAGAGAGGGGTTTGGAATACAGTGTTCTGTTTTCTTTTCTATGCTTGTACCATCCCTTGTTATCAATTGTGGATGGTGAATATGGAAGCCAGCCAAAAATCCACTATTTAAACATGACAATGCTAACTATGGGATATATAATATGTGTTGGGGCTGACACAAAATCCACAATGATATAATATGCAGATTTTGACGCACTTTACAATTGTTCCATAACTTGGAACACCATGAACTAGACTAACTTTCAGCTAAGTAATTTAATTTCAATTTATTTTCTTTCCCTTTGTACACATTGCTTAAAGAACCTAGAAGACCATGGATGAATTTAAAACCACATAATGGCTATAAGTTAAAAGCAAGTAAGCAAATACACTCACTACTTTCAACCAAAAACCTACTTGCTAGAAAGAATCGTTTGAAAATGAATCTTACCGAAGTGGGGCATGAAGGACACACATATCCTGCTGGAGCGGTATGTGGAGGAAAGCTCTTGATATGTGAGATCAAGCAATTTGTGTGTATAACATCTATACAAAAATCAAATTTACAACAAGTAATTAGCACCAAGTTGTCATTTTTAACATGTAATCACTACAAATTTAAAATGTTTATTTCTTCACGTACGCAAGCAACCAAGTCGAGTAGTTTGAGATCCACTCTCCTCTTCTAGAACGCCTTGGCACTTACAGCATTTAGGCGGCCAATCATACTCTCCATCTATAACCCATTCCGAATACGTCCGTATCTATGAATAATATCAAATCAACAATCATAACTAATTCTGTCCCCCTCAATTTACATTCCCAAAACAAACTCCCGTATCAGTAAAATCTTTGAACACCGACAAAATGTAATATATTAAACGAAAACCACGGCGTAAACGTAGAATGAATTTACCACGCAGATTTGATGCTCCGGGAAACAGATACATTCTCCACATACAGGAACTTTGTGCACGAAGCAATATAGCTTAGTAGCCTAAAAAAACCACAAATCATTAGTTCTCTAATTCAAGGAAATGGAAAACAACTAAAATCACTCCACAAAATAATCATCAAAAACTCCACAAAATTCACATGTGTCTATGGATCTTTTAAATTTGAAAAATAAAAATAATAATTACAAGTTCTATAACTTCTATCAACCATTCAAATTTTGAAAAATAAAAATCGAATCATACAAAATGCAAACACAATCACTGATTATTGATCTGAATTGACGAAACTAGATTGCGAATTATCGGATCTATATATCCAAGCTGATGAATCGAGCATGATTATTGGCGTAACAGGATTCAGGATTTTGAAGAGGGAAACAGAAAATCGCGAGAAAGTAACGATACCTTGCGACATTTGCAGACCACCATTGCATTTGAGGGTTATGAATCTAAAATGAAATTGAGGTGAATTTGAAAGCGGAGAAGAGTGTGATGAAATAATGGTAATCACGGAGACATAATTGCAGAAAGATAGATTTACTGAAATCGTTGAAAATAGGCTCAGCTCAGTGCGAAAACCAAACCCCCCTCCTCCTCTTCTACGTTTCTTACCGAGATCCGCTTGAGTGTTTTTTTTTCTAATTAATTAAATTATTTTTTTCCAACCAAAAACATTAAAAGTAAAACTAAAAAGAAAAAATTGACAAAAAGTCTTCTTCCTAACTTATAACTTATAATAATAATAATAATAATAAGAATAATAATAATCTTGGGAACGTCTTTTCATTTAGAAATTATAATTTATTTTATTATTTTATATTTTATTTTCTTGGATGCTATTTTAAATAATATTTTAGTTTATCTTATAGTTTATTATTTTTTTTTTATTTTTTTTATTTTTATTTTAATTAAAATTTATTATTATTTTTTATAATTTATTTTAATTTAAATAAAATAATTATATATTAAATATTTTTTATGTTTGAACCACTAATTTTATTAAATATTTTAATTAACTTATCAGTTATAAGTCATTAATCATTAACTATAAGTTATAATAAGTTAGTTTCTAACAAACCACTATTTTTACTAAACAGAATTTAAAAGTGAAATAAATAAAAAGAACAACTCTTTTTAGAAATATTTTTCAAGAAAAAATTATTAAAATAAAATATTGATGAAGGAAAAAAATAGTGCCCATAATATGAAGAAGGGTAATGAAAATCATAATTTGGAAGATCAAATCAATGTAATAGTTTAATATAAATATTTAGGGGTGTTATTGGTTCGTTTTGGATCGGTTTGGATCACTTTTGAATAAAAAATTTATCGGAATAGATAATATTTTACTATTTTGGTTTGATTTGGTTTTTAGTATTTTTTTTAAAACACAGAATCAAACCAAACTAATTTAATAAAGAAGTTTAAGTGGCAAGACGAAGGTGTTCTTATAACGCTCCGATTCTGAATTTTTCATTTTTGTTGAGTCTTTTAAGTTATTTTGATTGAATTATTCTTTTAAATTGTGGAATTTGAACATTAATATGTTATGTGTGCGTGTTATGTTATTTTATTATTCGGAGAGTTTTGGGAATTAATTAGAGGGTGTTTTAGATAATCCTTAATTAGTAGATGTTTGAGAGAAATATAATAGAATGAGTATAAGTGGAATTAGAGAGAAAAGAAATGAGACAGAAAGAAGAAGAGAAGAAGAGAAGAGAAGAGGAGGAAGAGGAGAAAAACCTAGAATCATCTAGAATCAAACTTCTAAGCTTCGATTAATCGGGTAAGGGTGTGAAACCTTATTATTCTTTCGATGTATATGATTATGTGTGTTTCTATTGGTTTGCTTTTGGATTGGGGAGAGTTTTGCTCATTTTTCTGTTTTAGGTTGAATTCGATTTAATCGGTAGAAACTGAGTTTTAACGGTTGAAAAAGAGAATAAGTGGTAGAGTTTAGTCGAGGGGTGTTAGACTAAGCTGATAGAACGAGTTGGGATTGAATCGGGTAGATTTCGATGAGTTTCGGAATTTTTGGACAGTGGGAATTCTGAGTTCGCAGACCCTCGCTAGCACGTTCCCTAGGCGAGCGGGTCGCAAGCATTCGCTGGGCATTCGCTGTGGCGAGCCAGTAGTGAATGGTCCCAGACTTGGGCAGAATGGTTTTTGGTGTTCTTCGCTGGTAGCGAAAGGGGTGGCGAGCGATTCGCTAGGCCTTCGCTGAGCGAGTGTGGAAGCGAACCAAGTTAGAGGCTTCTGTTTGCCCTCGCGAGCTTGTTCGCTAGGCGAACAGGTAGCGAGCACTCGCTAGGCGAACAGGGTAGCGAGCGTAGCAGGATGTTGTTTTCTGGTGTTTTCATTTCCATGTCGATTCTTCGATTCAAGTGTGATTAACCCTTTCTTATTATGCATAGTTGTGTGTGTGATATGAAATGATGTGGGTAGCCGTATGGCGTGAATCCTAGATTGTGAATCGTGAAGTGTGAAATGTGGTCGTTTGGCAATTTTGTGCAATTGTTTGAATTGAGTGAAAATGCATGATTGTATATTCGTGTATATGTATGCATTTCAAGAATGTATGGAGTCGTTTTGTTCGTGAAGCATCATGATTGCATTCTTGTGTGTCTGATCCCGCGTAGGATCTGCAGAAACCTCGTGTGCCCTTGTGGGGTGTGAGCGATGGTTTGTCTTTGATCCCTAGGAGGATCTGCAGAAACGATCGTGTGCCCTTGTGGGGTGTGAGCGATAGTTTATTTTGATTCCGTGGAGAATCTGCAGAACGATTGTGTGCCCTTGTGGGTGTGAGCAATCGAATTGTGTCCCCGTTTGGGGTGTGAGCAATCCTGAAACATCGTGTGTCCATGTGGGGGTGTGAGCGATGGGTGAACATCGTAGGCCCGACGGGGAGTTACTTCGGTAACGAGCGATGGTTCCATTTGGTTCTTCAATTGAACCTGCTGAATGAGTCAGTACCACATTTGCATCTGCATAGAGTCGTGAGTCGGTCTCTATGAGTGCATTATTATCTTCATATGATATATTGGTGTAATGAGCATAATTGTGTATGTTTATGTGAAATATGTGTATGATTGGTGAATTATATATGCGTTGCGATGTATGTATGATTGAATTTTGATGCATTGCGGTGAGAAATGTGTTATGTGTATTCTATGTTGGTATATATAAAGTATATACATTGTTTGTTATGATAATGTTTCTCACCCTTCTGCTGTTTTATGATGCTCTATGAGGCATTGCAAAGTAGTTTTGCTGGAGGTCTTTTGCGAAGCGGGGCTTCGTTCTTTTTGGTTGGTTGGCTCTGATATGTAGCACCGGGTAGATAGGAATTCTTTTGGTTCTTTTGTGATACATCTGTGAATGTATCTGCTGGTGTATGTTTTGTAAACATGACTTATGACTTGAATTGAACTGTTTAGGTATACAATGTTTATATGAATGAAGTGAATCAATGTTTAGATGTTTCCGCTTTTATTCTAAATATTGATGTGTGGGTTTTAAGGACTAAGTTCCTTTGTGTTGGTTTACCCTTTGTTGCATATCTTTATGAGCAGGTGTTGTATATGTTTTGAATTTCCTGGATATTGTGACGTACCTCTTTTATACCATGCATTAAGTTATACTCTGATAAGAATTTATTAAGTGCCTAAATGATTTAATTGTTTATTTGGGGGTATAGAAATGGGGTGTTACAGTTCTCGCCATTGCTCAAGGCCAAGAAGGAAAGTGATGTTCACTGGGGACGGGAGCAGCAGGAAGCTTTCGACACCATTAAAGAATACCTCACAAGGCCTCCCATTTTATTGTCACCTAGTATGAATAAGAGCATGAAGTTGTACATTGCTGCGTCGGACGCAATCATAGGAAGCATGTTAGCACAAGAGGATGATTGTGGCATCGAAAGACCCATTTATTACCTTAGTCGAATGTTAATAGATGTTGAAACTAGGTACACTATGATTGAAAATTTGTGCATGTGCTTGTACTTCTCATGTATGAAATTAAAGCAATGTGTTAAACGAGTTGATGTTTATGTTTTGTCGCATTTTGATGTTATTAAGCATATTCTATCTAAACTCATTCTGCATAGTCAAATTGGGAAATGGGCACTAGCATTAACTAAATGTTCCTTGACGTATGTCCCTCTAAGGGCAATGAAAGGTCAAATAGTGGCAGAGTTTATTGTTGATCATGCAGTAGTCGAATTGTTGTTGTGGGTGGTCGACATTGATCCTTGGAAGTTATACTTCGACGGGTCAAGTCATAAAAAAGGAACAAGTATTAGATTCGGGATCCCTGAAAACATCACTACAGACCAAGGTTTCGTATTTGTTGGCCAGAAGATGCAAGAATTTGCAGCAGAAACAGGTTTCAAGTTAATTACTTCGACACCGTATTATGCTCAGGCAAACGGTCAATTCGAAGCCGCCAATAAAGTAGTGATTGGACTCATCAAGAAACACGTTACTAGGAAACCTAAGAACTGGCACAAGAATTTGGATCAAATTTTATGGGCTTGTCGAACATCCCCTAAAGAATCGACCAATTTGACTCTGTTTCGCTTAACGTTCGGTCACGATGCTGTTTTGCCAGCAGAGATTTGTTTACAGTCAATTAGAGTGCAACGTCAGCATGACATTTCGTCGGAGAAATACTAGAACATGATGTTAGATGAAACTGTGGACTTAGACAAAGAAAGAATGACATTGTTAGATGTATTACTACACCAAAAGGCACAGGTGGCCAAAGCATATAATAAGAAGGTCAGAGAGAAGACCTTTGAGTTAATGATTATGTGTGGGAAGCAGTGTTGCCTATGGATCGAAGGGATCAAACGTTAGGGAAATGGTCACCAAATTGGGAGGGACCATTCCAAGTGATCCAAGTGTTTAGTAACAATGCATACGAGATCCAAGAGATAGGTATGGATCAGTGAATCCTAAGATTGAATGGGAAATATTTGAAAATATATAAGCCTATGTTACAAGATATTCGAATCCAGAAGTAATTTCTTATTAATAATTGGACAACATGGATAGAAGGCCAAGATAGTTTACAAAAGCTCCAAACGGAGTTACAAGAGTTCGACTGGAAATGTAAAGTACAATTATGCAGGGAATCTGGACTTGAAGTCTTCAAAAAGGTTCTTCTTGTAAGACACCTTACTATCAAGAAGGGACTTCTTCTTCCGCATTTTGTCGATCGTACCTTTCAGTGCAAGGTCCGTTTTGACATGGGCAATTCCTTGGGAGACTTCTTGGTCTATTACTTTTTGAGCATGTAGAGGTTCACCGGAGTCCAATGCGGCCTTTTGTTTTTCAACCTCAACAATTTTCCTTGTAAGTTCAGCTATTTGGGCCTGATAGTCGGGATATCTGCTAGCCAAAAGCGCAGAGCTTATCAGAACGTTC